CAAAAGGTTGAAGGAATTCCAAAACACCTTTTATGGCATAATAATTATTTTTAATTCTACATACTATCTTTAGCTGCTTTTAAAAACGTTCTAAGAAAGTCCAATTAGACCAATTTAATCCCTAAACTATTCCACATTTTTAAAATTTAATTACCTAAAAATATTAAAAACTATTTAAAATAACTTGTTTAGCAGACTGTACAATAGCTATCTTAGTCACACGTAGCGCGTTCTCTGTCTGGGCGTCGAACACCTCTAGGAATTTGATGAACTGTACATATATCGGCCAAAGCAGCTTATAAATTATATTAAAATGTTATATTAATTTGTTTCTTAATTTGTATTGATAGGTATAAAAAAAATTAATTTCAATTAGGTATTTTTCGAAACTTTTCAAAATAACGAATTTTTGGTGCCTTACATTCAATTATTTAAAAAACGTATGTTTTGGTTTTCAAACATAATTCTTTAAAGAATGGTTCCGTTGTCACGTTTCATGTGACAGCTCACCTAGGATTGCTACGGCAGAAGACTGATGTGCACCCCTTCAATTATGGTCAATGATAGGGCACTTTTGATGGCCTGTTAAAACACCATTATTTTTATGTTACATCTTTTTAACAATCTCTTTCTTCCTTTTTCATTGTATTATTCGGTATATAAAAGTCTGACACTACTTATTTAACATTTTGTCAAGTGATTCTTTCAGATTTACAAGGTGATGCATATAAATATCAGTCTTGGTAAAGAAAACTCGGGTTTTTCTGTAGTGCAAAGTGTAAATTAATGTTTTCGACACTTTGAAATTGATATTAGAATAAAAGAAAGATGTAATTATCGTTTTAATGTTATTTGATACAGAAATATTGCTAATCATTTTATGTTATTTAATATTACAAATTATATAATAATTAAAATTAAAAAATATATCAAATATAACAGAAGAAATATTTAATCCGAAATATAGAATAAAGATATTATAATGCTTGGGATTCTATATGATGCTCTTCACAGTTAAACAAACCCCCTTTCAACCACCCATTTTAAATCAGATTTTTTTCAGAATCAATGGACTGCATCCCCCTTATAAAAACTTTATTTTTCCGGTAGAATTCGAGTAGATATATATCGTTTCTTGTTTCTGAGTTAGGATTTTATTTTAATATTTTAAACCCTTTTTTTTATTCAATTTTTTTTTTAGAAACAATAGGCTTTATCCCCTTGTAGAGCTTGATTTTTACTAAAAATTTTATGTTAATATTGCTTATCGTTTTTGATTTAGGATTTTTTCAAAGTTTTTATTTTAATCAATAGCCTTCGTCTCATTGCAGAGCTTGATTTTTTCTAAAAATATCAAGTTGATATTGTTTTCTGGTTTTGATTTGTGAATTTTTTAATCTTAAACCTCCTTAATTCCCCATTTTTAATCAAATTTTCAAAAATGAATAGGCTTCGTCCCATTCCAGAACTTGATTTTTCGTAAAAATGTCAATTGAAAATTTTTAAATTTCAATCTCTCCTTAACCCCTCATTTATTAATCAGTTTTTATTGTTTTTCGTTTTTAATTTATTATTTTTTTTTAAATTTTAGCTCCTCATTTTTAATCAGATTTTTTTTTAAATAAATAGGCTTCGTGCCATTGTAGAACTTGATTTTTCCTGAAAATTTCTAGTTGATATTGTTTTATAATTTTAAGTTTCAAGCCTTTCTTAACCCCTCTATTTTTTCAAAATCAATAGGCTTATAGAAATTGATTTTTCCTGAAAATTTTAAGTTCATATCATTTTTCGTTTTTGACTTATTATGCAAAAAAAAAGTGACATCGGATGGATGGGTATTTTTAAAAGTTGTTTAAATTTTGATGAGAAGGATTTTGGTTCAAAAGTTTTTAAATTTGGATGAATATTAAAAATTTTGTGTGAAGAGTATAATAACAGAGATGTAGTTAGGTTTACTTTTTGAATAACTGCAATCAAGTTTGCTGTAATAAATGTTATGGATTTCAGTGTTATTACCCAAATAATTATTTTAAAAAGTTATGTTTAGGTACCTACTTATATACTAAATTAAAAGGCCCTGACAACAATTTTTTGTATCTGGATTTAAAAACGCTGGAAATTATTATAAGTAAACCTTTAAAAATAGTAGTTTATACAACAAGAGTGGATATGATGGCCATATCGCACAGAGACGAAGTTTGAACAGTTGAACACGTCGCCGTAGGCGGCGGAGTGCTTAATCATGAGTGCTATGTAGACAATCCACTCAAGTTGTACAGTATATTTTTTCTACGACCCACAAAGGAAAATTTACAAATTTAAAAAATTATGTTAGGTTTTTAAGACAAGATTACTAATTTTAAAATAATTTAGAAATTTTACTAATTTATAAAACAAAATAAACATGATTTTTTTTTTAATTTAAATAGTCTCCAGCCCAGATTCGAACCCGGGACTTCGTCGTGGAATGCAGAAGCTCTGTCCTCGCCTCCACCCCCAATTTTAGAATTTTAGTTTTAAATTATTTTTATATAGTTTGATAATTTTGTTTTTAAATGTAGACCAAACAAAAATAAAAATGATATCAATTCTAAACAAAAATAATTCATTTTAATGTATATTTAATCTCAATAACTAAAAAATATAATGATAATCAGTTTGACAGAATTGTCACTTATTTAAAATTTTAGAAATAGTAGTAGTTGGGTGTCCAAAATAAAAACTGTGAATGGTGGATTTCATTTTTGTGCCGTGTCCTCACTACCTAGAATACAATATTCGTTCAGTTGAACGCAATAGTGTACTTTTTCGTTTTGTAGTCTATGCGTAAATGTGAACGTAAAAACATATTTTTTCACTACCTTCTTCCCGAAATTGTGGATTCACGATTAGGGAACCAGAATATTTTTTAAAATAATAATAAAAGTAGACATTACACTGAATTTGAATAAATTAAAAATTATTTGATACAATAAATATGTTTTATGAAAATTGTTTGATATTTATTAGCCATAAATATGTACATATCAATATTAGTTTTCACTTTAAAATATATACAGGATGATTCATTAAGGGTGGCGACCGGCCGTATTTCTGAATATCTTAAAGTAGAATTTTTTTGTAAGAAACGCAAAAACAAGTCGATTTTTATTTAAAGGGAAACACCTTTCTATAATATCCTTAACTGCCATATGTCATTTCTCTTCCTTACGTTAATCTAACCAATACAATTTAAATAGAGAAAATACCAAGTGTGACACATCGTCGGAAAGGTAATTTTATGGGAAATTCAGCAATATGACTGTTTATTAAGTTCCTTTTAATTTTAGCGCCCTCTAGCGGGATAAAAAATTAATACCTATGGTAAAGTGTGACACTTCATTTGAAAGCTAATTTTAATAATAAAATAAATTTAGTAATAATGCATTATTTTTCCTTTTAAGTTCATTTTTAATTCAGTTAACATAATATTACATAGTGTAATAAATTACTAATAAAATTAGCTTTTAAATGAAATATCACACTTTACCATAGGTAATAATTTTTTATCCCGCTAGAGGGGGCTAAAATTAAAAGGAAGGCAATGAACAGTCATATATCTGAATTCCCCATAAAATAACCTTTCCGACGATGTGTCATACTTGGTACTTTCCCTATTTAAATTATATTGGTTATGGTTAGATTGACATATGACAGTTGAGGATATTATAGAAAGGTGTCCCTCTTGAAATAAAAAACAACCTGTTTTTGCGTTTCTTTCAAAAAAAATTCTACTTCAAAATATTCTGAGATGCGAACGGTCGCCACCCTTAATGAATCACCCTGTATGTAGTATAAAAGAAATGTAATCAAGAGGTAAATAAAATAAACAAAAATGAATTCTCTAAACCATATCAAAGTAACATGAGAGACCGTTTGTTTTCGGAAAACAACTACTCATATGGTTAATAACGCAAAAGGCATTGCAATATAACCAAAAATTAAGAAAAACAGCATATAGAAAATGATTGTCAACACTCCAACTTTGATTTTTCTTATTAAGGAGAACAGAGGTCTTGGACAGGTTTTGTCTTTATTGGGACTCATCAGCAAGTAATAGACCTTCTCAATTGCAATATTTAATGAAATCTTTAGGTACGTCATTACTTGTGGTTATGTGAGTATAAGAAGTCATAAATTAACGCCATCTGCAATTAGTAAGCAAAATCAATCAATTTTCTTAATTATGTATTCTACATATTTATAATTCTGCTTTATACATATACCATACTATTCGAAAACGAAAAGAAAACCTACAGGCACAAAAATAATAAAAGCGATTTCATTCGACCACAAGGCTTTACTAACCTTTTATTAAGTACGGTTCCCTTCATATTCATTAACGAAAATACACGATTAAAAATTTTACCTCTCACCATTTATCAAAAGCCCTCTCGATAATTACAAACGCAGCCTGCCACGATATCTACGGCCATCAATTAAAACTCAAAAAACATTTGATTCTCGAACCACAGCGTCCCGTCCGTCCGTCCATCACATCGGCCGATCTTTGCCCCGCCAGTGACGGAGAATCAAACAAAAAGTGCAATAAAGTCGTATTTATTCAAGTGAAGAAAATCAGTCGTTCTCATTGTATTAGATACAACCAAACATAATCACTACAGCCATTTCACTCTCTATTCCTGCGTTTTAGAATAAAACAACTATCTGTCTCTATGGTTATAATTTGATTTAAAAATCCTGATGATGATCCTGTGAGGTCGAAATTAGTAGCACAAAAAAAACTTTATTAATAAATTTATTGTGACTGATGGCCGGTTTCCGATACATTTCAGTATTGAAAGAATAACTATCGATCCGATAAAATTATGTGTCCAATAAATAATATGGCGTCTCTGAGAACTGATCTATAGATATAATTATCGCTCGATAGAAATCCATCATATAACTAGGTTTGCATATTCTCATTAGATGGACTTTAACAATTTAACCTATTCAAGATGGCCACATCGAATGTGACGGCTGTAAATTCGCTGTGCAAGAAATGTAAAAGTAAGGTGGTTACTGGACCTTAGTGCATAAATTGCAATAGTTATTATCATTCTAGCTGTGCCAAATTCTGAAGTTACTGACGAATTTTTAATTATGTATTGTGACAAAAATGAAAATAAAACCGGTGATAGTGTGGACACTGCTTTCTTTGACGCTGTTGAATCTATCACAGCCGATGAAAATAAAAATGTATTTTTTAATTATATTATAAGGCAAAAAGACACTCTTATAAGTGAATTAAAAGATAAAATCCAAGTTTTAAATCAACACACAATCCTATTAAATAAATTTAATTTCTCAAATCAGGCAACCTTACAAGATGAAGTTGATAAATCAAACGATCTTAACAAAAAATGTCTTAACGCTGTTATCAAGAAAAAGTAGACAAACCTTTGTCCGACTTGAACCAAATGATAAAGCAAGACAGTAAGGTAATTGACCCGAAACAAACAAAAACAAATAACAAAAATTGATGTCGCACCCTCAATAGAAATAGCCAATACCTAGCAAAAGCATTTTATGAAAAATTTATAAAAGATTTTTAAATTTTCCTTGAGAACTCCAGAATCAACCTCGATTGCTCGCATGATGGGTTTTAACAAAGAAAACGTTAAACAGTTTTTTACGGTCTATAAAGAATTAAAATTAAAACCCAATTTTGCAGCTAATCGCATTTACAATTGTGATGAAACTGAAATTTCAACAGTTCCTACAAAAAATCCTAAAGTTTTAACACCAACAGTAAACAGAAGAGTCATTAAAATTTCATCGGCAGAACGAGGAACTAACGTCACAGCTTTATGTTGTATTAGTGCTGTTATACTTACGCGGGTTTCGGATTAAAAATTTTATGAGTATTTCCAAGTAAGTACCCGAAAGTTTGACCTGTTCCTTGGGGAAATATCAACTGGTTAAATTAAATGAAAAATAATGTACAACTTTTTAATTAAATAATAATTGAGAATATTTTGTATAATTGAGAGCAGAATTAAACTTCTTCATTAATGGAGTCTAATCTGGCTATTATAAACTTAATAATAATTTTATATTACACTTCATACAGAAAATATGGTCTATGTATAATAAGAGGGTTATTTAGCTCAAATAAAATATTTTCTAACATAAAAATTTGTTCCATGTAGAGAATTTCAAATGAAAAATAAAAAAATTGAACTTGCCAACAAAAATGAAAATCAGTCATTATCATCCAAAATATCATAATTGTCATCATCATCACTGTCATCACAATTAATTGTTATTATGATTGGACTTATTTCATTTATTTTATTTTCACGAGTCCACCAATCTTCTATTAGTTTCTCGCACTTAGATATACAGTTCCGCCACACTTCTGGAGTTGCAATTGAAAGTGATTTTCGCCAAGTTTCCCGAACTGCGTCGTCACTATAACCATTAGGCCCAATATGGTTGTCATAATATTGTTTTGCTATTTCCCATATATATTTGATGGGATTAAACTGGCAACGATACGGTGGCGAACGTAAAACTTGATGACCGTAACTTTCAATAATCTGATCCACAACAAAGGTTTTTGGTTTTGCGTGAATATTTGCCAAGCGTAATAATTCTGATATATATTAAGGAAATGGTATATGTTCCTTTGTCAACCATTCTTTAATTTTATAAACAGTCCAAATTCGTTGGACTTTTGCTTAATAATTCAGAATGGTAAGGTGCATTGTCTAAAATAATTACGCTGGGCTCACTTAAACCTGGGAGAAGTTTTTCATGCAACCATTTTACAAACATTTCTGTGTTCATATTATCGTGATAGTCACCGGATTTTGATTTAGATGAAAATATTAAATCAGCACTTCCTATAAAACCTGATTTCCCTCCTGCTTGTAAAATTATGTGTCGCTTCCCTTCTCCATAAGTGTGTTTGATGGACTTTACGTTATCATCTTGCCATATTCTCTTGGTTGCACCCCTAGAAAATATCCATGTTTCGTCTAAATATATAAACTTCGCCCCTTCTTCTTTAAATTTAGAATATTTTCTTAGAAAGTTAATTCTCTTGTGCACGACAGAACTTCTTTCACAAAGGGTCTTTCTGTTATCCTCCTTTTAAAATTTGAAACCCAAGTTATGTATCACTTGCCATAGACTTGTTCTGCCAATGTCGTCAAATTTTCTATCTATTAATTCCAAGAGAATTGTATTTAAGGTCACATGTTCCTTGCTGGCCCTCATTCGATAAATGGTATCACGAATTTCAAATTTCTTTCCATCTGGAATACCTTCCGTTTTCAATGATGGGCGAGTTTTGCGGTGATCTTTTTTCGGCAGTTCACTATTGTGATTTTGTAATACTCCTCTTAATTTGATTTCACTAATTCCTAGAGTATCGCATACCCGTTGTTGTACAGACATTACCGATTTTAAAAGACCGCCATTTCCTTTTTCATCCGTAAAATACTTATGTACACTACAAATTAGACTATCTACATCTAACACACGACTAGGCATTTTTAAAATTTCCACTAAATTTACAATATACATACAATGTCAACACTTGCAAACAATCAATTCAACAACAAATTTAGTACCTACCCTAATGGTATTTTAATTTAAATCTGACCATTAGGACAATTTTACCTAATTTCTTGGGAAGAGGCTTATTGGAACTGGTTGTCAATGACTAATTTGCATAATTTTGTTAATCCGAAACCCGCGTAAGTATAGCGAACAGACTGTACGTATGTTTCTCCGTTTTTAGTATTCCCAAGGGTAAAAATACAACCTTCTTACTTAAATGGACTTGCACCAGATTCCATTGGTGAAGACCGAAAATTTTACAAAATTTCTTGAACATTTTATTAACTTTGTGAAATCGAAGGAAGATTATTGATAATGGATAATCAAGCAACACATATTAATTTGGAAAATATAAATTTATGCCTCAAACGTCACATAATATTACTCGGTTTCCCACCTCATACAAGCCACAGAATGCAACCGTTAGATGTGTCTTTTTATAGACCTTTCAAAACAGCTTACAGTATTGTATGTGACGATTTTTTAACCAACAATCCAAGGAAGGCAATTACTTTACACGATATTGGTTCTTTATTTGGAAAGGCTTATCTAAAAGCAGCAACAGTTGCAAATGCTGTGAATGGATTTAGAGCAACGGGTATAGAACCATTCGATTCAGAAATTTTCTCTGAATTGGACTTTGCACCTTCTTAAACTACTGACACCTATCCTGATGCTACAACTTCCAATAAAGTCCAACCCGACCCACCCTTGTCCAGTCAGTCAACAGCTGATATCAATAACGATGAAGAGATTCAAGAAACAATGCAAACTCCGCCATCTACTAAAATCGTCGAAAAAATGAAAGAGGACTCTAATCGGTATGAAGCTCATTCTTCTACCTCTTGTATGATACCAACCAAACAATTTTACTCAACACGACTTCCGTTATTGCCTGTTGCAGAAGTCAGAACTAAACGCAAAAGAGCTAAACTACCATCCCTCGTTATTTCAAGCACGCCAGTAAAAACTGTTTTGGAAACAAAGAAACAGGAAAAGCAAGAGAGGAAAAAAAGCCAAAGAATTACTTAAGAAGAAGAAGAAAATGGAACCAAGAAAACTGGTTAAGCGAAGAGTATTCAGTTCATCAGATTCGTCAAATTCATCAATTGAAGTGGACTTGGTATACACTGATGATGATAATAACTCTTCTGAGAGTAACAAGATATCTGATAATAAGTTAAGCGTCATCTGTAATGACGAAGGAAAAGATCGGGAACTATGGCTTCAGTGTTCAAAGTGTAAAAATGGGCCCATGCCGTGTGCACTGATCTGGATATTAAGCAAAGCAAAGCCAAGAAGTGGTTGTGTGATTTTTGTAATCGATAACTGAATTCGAACTTTGTTAAATATTTTTCAAGAATTTTGTGTTCTGTTTATTTTATTATCATAGAACGTTTTTTTTATTTTTTCTAGATTGTTAGAGTTGACTGTGAGGCTATTTGATTTTTCTTTTTTTATTACAAGCGTCTTTTTTGAAAATATTTGGATTATTTAAAACATCCGTCAACTTACAACTTACAATTTCAAAACAAAAAATGTCTTTTATAACCTTTAAAACTGTACCAGCTCAGCCTTCTTTTCTCCTGTTGCGCCATACCAAACTCTAGACTATAAACTGTAATGTCATTCTGCCTTTTCGTTTGAAGCTACTAGTTGTAATAATTTTGTTTCATTTCGTTTTTTTTTTTGACACCTATACCTAACTTAAGTTTTCAAAAGAATATTATTAGGAAAATCATATAATGATGGTCCTAAAATCTTTCCTTGAGAGACTTCACTTTTATAAGCATCAATTAAATTTGGCAATTTTCACTAGTAATTAGCAAACAGAAACCAAGATTGTATTATTTTTTAAACTTTTTACAATTTTGGTTTAAACTAACGTCTAACAGTATTTAATGAAGCGCTACTAGTTTCAATTTAACTAGAAGTAGAAAAAAGTTAGGCTGAAAGGTCTGACCTTCGTTATTATCATTGAACCTTGGGAAACTGTTTTTTTGCATCTTTAATATGGGGCCTGTGCATTGACAGATCATCATCGTCATAGGCCATCGATGGTGTTTAAGTGGCTATGGCTGTGAAACGTTACACATAAAAATAAAATTCTTTTGCACACAAGACAATTTTTTAGCTACGCCACTGCCTGATTGTGGCCTCAACACTGGGCCCTGTGTTTTTATTTCTTATTCCGTTAATTATTAGTATTATTGTATGAGAAGATTATCTCCGAAGTGGAAATGTTAAAAATATATCTGCAAATTAGAGGGTAAGGGGTGTCAGTGGGTTAATTGAACACTCCGTACAAATTGGTGGTTATCTGGAAGCATCATCTGCTCGCAAGGCCGTAAGGTGTTTGTTTTTATATATACCTGAGTATGAGTTATACGGATTTGATTAAAAAATGTTTTAGCTGTCTTGATGTTTTTTTTTTGTTATGAATTTTTGTGGTATTTAGATTTTTTGTATTTTTTTTAATTTTAAATGAGAACTTTAATTTTTTTATAAAGTTTTTTAAATCGAAAATTCATTAATCATTATTTCACAGGTATTTGACAAAAATATAAAGTTATATCAATTTCTCGGTAGGTTATTATTTGCAAATATTTACATTTTCTTTTCTTTGAAATGTTACGTATTTAAATAAAGGTCATCTATTTAACTAACACCTCATTTTTCATTTTTTATTAACCTAATATTCAAATATTTTTTAATTTTCAATCTAGATTCCTATGTACTTTTGATAGTACCTACCAAACTTTTGAGATATTTAACTTTTTCTCACCAATTTCGTTTTAAAACTAATTAAAACGAACAACATTCGA